TAATATAATATATAGATATATTATTCGACATAAAACTTTCTGGAATAATGAAAATAGTTATAAGTAGTATTTGGGAGTAGTGGGTTGTATCGACCCGATCTTATTTTTTTTTTGCCAATACCACATTCTTTTAACATGCCACATACTAAAAAAAAAATATTTTCCGGGTTTCATTAAGTACCTCACATACAATAACCTCAATACCAAATACCTCACATAAAATAAAAATCATAAGCACAAAGACACACCTATCTTAAACAACTATCCCATTTTCATTGAGCTCAAATATTGGCCGATATAAAGGGGATTAAGTCACCAGGAAGTTCGAAAATTTTTATATTAGGCTTTGAAGTCTCAGGGAAGTATTGACCTGATTCAACTCAATTTTGATACACAGAATTACTATTGTTCAGAAATAATTCTGTCTTAATTTCAATTGTATATCTCACACATTGACCAATATTTTTTGTCAAAAGTCAACTATAGATACTGAGGTCCACATATTCGGTACCTAGGGGCTTGAACTGCTTTGATTGGATTGGATCAATTTTCATAGATAAGGTTGCATACTATAAAGCAATTATTAGTGCTTTCTGATTTGTGTACTGGTAAGTGAAAGAATCAAATGGATTTTAAAATTGTGCTATATGGAAAGTAGGCTTGGTTGTAGTCCGATCTCGCCCATATGGTGGYATAGAGAAATCCGAAGAATGTCACCTACTAAGTATACTCGAAATCGGTCTGTCTGTGTTTCATTTAACAATGTCGTTCATAGGACGATTATTCAAAATTAGCTGGCCAAAAGTCCATTTTTTTAATAAAAGGTTATCAAGAAATAGTAACTACGATAGAAAAAGAAATAGCCCATCAAAAAGAATTAAATACCTCCACTGCACTGTGTTCTTGCGCCCGCACTTCGAAACTTGATCTTTGCATTATTTGTCTGATCATTTGTGATCTCAGTTGACGAAGTTAGAGAATAATTTCGGGTACTCACAACGTATCATAAAGCATCGTAAATCAGAGAACGCATATTTATAGAGATATTTCAATTTTGGGATATTTACTGTTTTGGATGAGCGTGTTTCACYACAGAAAATTATTAGCGTGTTTCACCACTTCACATCAGGGGCATGAAAATAGCAGAATTGAGCATTTTCAGTGTTAAATCAGAGAACTTATGCCATTTCCGAGGTTAAGGAATGTACGCTTACAGATTCTGCATATAATTTATATACATACATGCATATGTTACAATATATATCAAAACACAAAAGCATGTACATACATACATATGTACGTAGAAATTAAACTATTTTATGATGAATTCCTTAAATCTTTGGAAATATATAATAAAATCATATTTGTATTACACTCTAATTATTTAATTAATGTAGGCTTCATAAGATATATACGTACACTTGTGCTCACACAATTAAGCCACATAAACGTTATGGTATACAAATTCATAAAAGTTGAATTTTATTGATAAATCGRAAA